GCCGGCCGAGCGATTCGATGCGCCAATGGCGTGCAGCTCTAGGAAAGGGTGGTCTGCGAGGAGGAGAATGAATCGTTGGCCGACGGAACCGGTGGCGCCCAGGACACCTGTCGTGATGTGAGTAATGATTTAAGGGAGACGTGGACTGAACAATAAGCCCATACCGCACTTCTTCTTGGGATATGATGCCATGTTGATTGAGAGTAATCGGGGTGAAGTACGGCGTGATTGAACCTGGTTTTCGAGTCAATTGGCTGGATGAATAGGGATGAGCTAAATTCGAAGCATGAGAAGTCCATTATCCATCAGGCATACAAATAAATGGAATGACATGCAAAGCCTTGGGCAAAGCAGGCGAATCCAAGTGTATGACTCGAAGAGCCTTCATCTAAGGTAGAATTCAATGCCCCGCAGGCACAGTCTCAATTGCCCCTCCTTCAAGCGACGGACATCATATCTCTTTTGACAAACGCGACACAGAAGCAATTCCACGCACAGAAACATATCCACTAACCTTTTGAATAATGCTCACCGTGGGTTTGAGAAGAGACGCTGGTGGCAACAATATCAAGGCAACTTTTACGACTCACTTACGGACTGCGATATCGCTTCACCGGCCTGCGCTAAGCCCCGCAATGAGTCAGCACCGGCACCCACAGCCAGCGAAATCCGGCAATTAGATTGGATGATTCCAATCACTCTACTCCGTATCAGATATCGATTTATTGTTGACCGAATGGAAGCAACCTACAGATATAGGTCGGATTTCGGGTCATCTGTAGATCTCGCCTGCTATTATTCACATCATAGATGTACAAATTGCTCATAAATCATTGGTCTCAGCCAATATATGCGCGCATGGGCTACGTTATGACTCGTCTACTTATTATTCCCTTACTCTACTTCATGTTGATGCCTCACTTTCATAGTCGAAAATCTTACCAGGGTTTAACAACCAGTGAGGATCAAGGGCTTTCTTGATGCTACGCATGACATCAAGAGTAGCCGGGCCAAGCTCCTTTTTCAAAGATGCTTTCTTGCCCAGCCCCACGCCGTGTTCGCCCTGTCCTTCGAAGTTAGCTTCTTTGCGGATACACTCAGGAGCTTGGTTATACTAACGGTGCAAGATCCTTCCATATCTAGGGCGCGGTCGACCATATCGTGGACGACCTTCTCAACCCGCTCCATTTGGTCGGCATTCTTTCTGTCGTACATTATACTCGAATGGAAGTTTCCGTCTCCGATATGACCCAGGATACTGGCGAACAACCCCAGGTTGTCGAGCTCCTTCTTTGAGATTTCTATTCAAGTCAGCGCAAGTTCGAAGGTAATCTAGCTTGAGTCCTACCTATAATATCAGGTAGCCTGGAGATCGGAACGGCGACATCTGTTGACCACACTTCCGAACCTTCCTTCCGCAAGGACATCATGCTCCATAACGACTGCTTTCGCGCCGACCAAAGATCGTGTGCCTCCCGGTCGTCTCGGGCAAACTCGAATGATGCTGCATTGTTGCTCTTGGCAAGTTCTCTCGTCAGATTGATACTGTCAGAAACTCCAGCTCTAGTACCCGAGAACTTGAAGAAAAGTGTGGGCAAAGTCTTCCAAGTCCTGCCGGTACCGCCAGCACGGTTGATGACATCCATCTGTACATCGTCCAGGATTTCCATGCACTGTACTGGGATTCCTTTTCGTATAAGCTGCATGGCAGTAGACGCAGCATCCCGAATCGTGGGGAACGCAACGACTCCAACCCGAGTTTGTTCTGGAATCGGAGCGAGCTTGAGAGTTGCTTCGGTGACAATACCCAGAGTACCCTCGGAGCCTACAAACATTCCCGTCAAGTTATAGCCAGCCGAGGTCTTTCGCGGGCGTCTCCTAGTCTTCATGACCCGGCCGTCTGCAAGGACGACTGTCAGATTGATCACCCAGTCCTTCATTGTCCCATAGCGCACTGCATTGGTCCCGCTGCAGTTGGTCCCAATCATACCGCCGATCATTGCGGACGGACCAGGATCGACCGGAAAGAAGAGACCAGTGTCCTTGATCTTTTCATTCAATTCCATCCATTGGATGGATGGCTGGACGACGATATCCATATCATCTTCGTGAATCTCAATTATCTTGTTCATCATGGCGAAATCGATGGTCAACCCGCCGTAAGGAGCTGAGAAATTTGCCTCGAGACTTGAACCGCCGGAGTAAGGAACCATTGGCATTCTGTATTTGTGGCAAACTTTGGCGATCTTCACCACATCTTCTGTACACGTTGGGTAAGCAACGGCGACCGGAAGACGATCTGCGTTCACGGAAGACCATTCTGAGTATCCATGCTGTTGAAGTTCATCCTCATCCGTACTAATAGCATCATCACCGAGTGTGATCCGCAATTCAGCAATCGCCTATGCATCGTTGAGGCCGGAATCAGCATCATATGCTTGGCTCCACGGAGCGATTGATTGCGAGTTTCTCACCTTTTCGAAATCCTTTGCCGTTCCATATTGTGGCTTTTTGAAACTCTCCAACTGAGAGGGCCGATTAGTGGCAGCATATGCGTAGCCAATGCTAGCAGCCAAGGCACTGACAAGGAGCGCCTTGCCAGACGTCCAGAAGCCGGGAGCCGCTTGAGCGGAGGAATTTGATCCAGCAAAATTCCTCTGGCTTTTAGGAGGAATCCCTGAGCTATTGGAGCTGTTATACCGAGTAGCTCTGAATGACAAAACTTGCGGCTGGGGAGTCTTGGTTTGCCGAAGAAGGGCGCGGGGATATGCGGGGAAACCCCGAGAAAGAAGATGGCCTCGTACGGCTGACATGAAGGGAAGTTGAAAGAATCAATTGATCAGGAAACTTCTTCAAGTCATGGAAGAATAATTAACTGGTGAAGATGTACACAGAAGCAAGTGGGAGAAGGATGGTTATTAGGCCAAGTTGTTCGTTGCGGTTCTTCGGTAATCGTGCATCTTACAGCCGCATCTTATGAGCATCGACGCCATTTAACGCAGGTATGAGGAGCTGGTCGGTATTCGGCCGAATAATATCCCACGAAAAGGACAAACAAAGAGTGTGGGAAAAGTCTCGAGTCACAGTACCTTATTTCAAGGACCTACATAGGCCTTTGTTCGTCTCCCCCACGCTAAATGACCGCATTTGGAGTCAATCTTCATTGCCCCGGTTCTGCCCCAGATCGGCCTCAAATCCGAAGAGCGGAATTAATGCCGACCCGCGCCACGGCGATGGGAGAACTGGCGAGGATCAAGTTGCCAGTTCGAATTGCATGCTAATAGTCATATAGCGAAATCGGGAGCCGGACATCATTTGTTGACGTTATTTTTCTGTTGTCATTGAAGGTTGAATCGTTCCCATGAGGTCAAGAGATGATGGCCTCAGGCAAATTACTATGGCCTCAGGCATTGGAGTTGTCCCCATGTTGACTCTTCAAGCTTCGTGGATTGCAACTCCAATGCCTGAGGCGACAACTTAGATGCTCTGTCACATAATAATCATTTAACTCTGGAATTTGGATGTACAGGAACATAGTGAAGACCCTTACTGGAGGTTCAAGACATCACCCATGTACCGGAATGTGGTTGAAACATTGCTCAACGATGCAGCCAGCCTTCAGAGCATCACCAAGGCGGAACGGAGGTCAGTGAGGAGAGCTGAACGATACCGAGCGCTTCCGGAACGACCAGGGACCCTGCAATACAGGGAAAGGAACGGACTGTGGTCGCCATGCATAGTCGAAGATGACATCTCAAGGATTCTGAATATCTTCCACAATGAACACACACATTTCTCAGATGCTATCACAACTGACCGACTGATAGGCCAAGTATATTGGCCGACCCGCGCGCGGGACGTTAGGTATTGGTGCCAAATGTGCGATACTTGCCAGAAGTTTTCCAAGGAGGCCTCCCGCCGGCGCACATCTGAGATCACAGCGATTTGAGCCTATGGAGGTCATTGGAATGGATTTCCTCGGACCGGTCAATCCCTGATGCCAGGTTACTGGGGCTAGGTACATCCTGGTTATGGCTGACTATTTCAGTTGATTCATATGGGCCAAGCCCTGGTGCTAGTGCAGAACAGCAGGAAGTTATTGATATGATCAGCTATCACCCGGTCTTTCTCGACATGCTAAGGCGTGTTTCTCCAAAGGTGTCGGCCGTTGCATCTGCGCTGACCGCCATATGGGCAGAAGCCGAAACCACCACCGTCAGCAAGGAAAAGGCGGACGAAACCCTTCGGGCACTCAGGAGATTCCGTGACTTTGTCACTGCTGAGCTAGACCGAGCGTCCGGAATCCGTTAGCATACCTGCAACTTCCTTATCAATCGCAATAGCTATGCCCATCTCGTCATTACAGTCCATCTACTGATCGATCGACCTCATCGGACTGATTCGGTCTATTGCTTTTTTAATTTAGAAGATTCGGGCAGCTTAGCTGAATGGAATTGAACCACTACGACCCCATCATTTGACTTCCATCATAGATTCGACCGAATTCATCGTATCTGTCTGACCCCTACCTTACCTACCGTTTTCAGTACCCTTTACGTTTTCCTTCCTCGTAGTTATAGGATCTAGGTACTCTGTCTTTAGGTATCAATATAAGCTGCGCAGCAGACAGGAGACATATGGCAGGTCGTGTCCGAGGTGCAGATCAGTTCATCTAAAGGGAAGATAGACCTCAAAGCAAACAATATCATTCATCTGTGACTAGGTAACAATAGCAAAACCATAGCTAAAGAACAACAGTCATCCACCCCGATAGGCGTTGCTAAGCAAAGCGAAAGAAAAGAACACCTTTCGCCCGTCCCGTCCCAAATGAAGCACCGGATTCTCAGTTTGGCAGAAAAGAGGTCTGTAACTTTTCACCCTGATTATCAAGAATCGCCAATGTTTTATAGTCATCCTCGAAAACTGCATGGATAAGCCGTGTCTCTCCGTACTCTACTCTTATATTAGTCGAGTCAACGGTGAATAAGGCGGGGTATATACTAACCATATGTTGGCATAGAAGTGGTACAATTGACGATGATCCAATCGTCGATCAAACCAGACTCTACCCAAGGGTAATACTTGCCATTCTTGCGAAAACGCATAATGTGTTCGTTGATTCGGTCTTGCTCCCGGACTATCTCCACTGCCCATCCTTTGTCAGGAATGTAAAAATTGACTCGACCGTTCGTGGTCCTAGACCATTCGCTACAGATTGTCACACCTCTACCGGCTATCTTATTAAAACACCGGTAGAACTCGTCTTGATACTGCGCCTCAATTGGCTTTGGCTGTGCACCTGTTGACAATATCTTGCCTTCGGATGAGTACCTCAGATTCGAGCTTGAAAACTGTCGTAATATTGCAAGAGTCAAATATCGTAAAGTATCGAATTCCGAGGGTAGGCTTTTCGTTCTCTCGTTGAGATGTAATATTCGACCCATCTAGGAACAGTTAGAATAATGCAATCAAGATATCTGGAGGGTATACTTAGAGATACATGCTTTTCATGGAGTCTTGAAGGAAGCACATAGACGTCCTTCTCGTAACCAGGCTGTCTGAGTATCTGCATTCGATGTAACCATCCGTGCTTGTAACACCTTTCTGCCGCTGGGTTCAGCTTTGGCTCATTTCCTTCCTTCAAAGTGAACCGTGGAACATTTCCTTCCTCTAGAACCTGAGCGAGGACGTCTGCGACTTCTGTGGTGAGCCGATCGCCCATGGGCAGTGAACGTGATATTAGCTCTTGAGTCAGCTTGTCCCAAACGTCTTGATCCCTTTTCAAGCTGTCGACCACGTGCTCCCTCGTTATCACTGGTACATCACCGGTCTTGATACTATGGCGATAAAACTAATGCAAACTCAGTCAGTCAAGCGAGCATGAAAATAAACTGCGTTTTAGTTGGAATGAAGGAACAAACTCACGTCATGGATGTACTGTAACACTGACTTAAGACCACCCGGGTGTCCATTTGTCAACGAAAAAAGATAGTCTTCGGCGTCTGGATTAAGGGTGAATTTCTCTTGGAAATGAGAACTTGCTATCAGTCGCTCTGCAGCATCCGTGAACTCCGACCGGGTGAAAAATAGACCAATCTGAGGAGACGGGTGTGATTGAGGGGTCAACGTCACGCGTTGTGCTAGCGTAAATCGAGCGGGCGTATATCTGAGATCACGATCGAGCTCCGTCTCAACACCAGTGCCTGGGCTCCCGTAGCAGCAAAAAAGACAGAAACTGATATCTAGGCCTCTGCGGTCCAACCGTTCCTTGATTATCGAATTCCAGAAAATGTCGTCGGAATAGGACCCTTGGGCCTCATCAATGATAAGCACTGTTCCCGGAGAAAGATAATCCTCTTTATGTCGATTGAACCTTGACCGTAACATACAGTTGAGATTCCTCCACGCGTAATGGAAAGTATCGTCTTCCGATGGAGGATATTGATCGAGCTTGCTCCACGTGCTAAGGTATATCGATCTCCTCCCGTTGACTTTATAATATCCCTGTAGTAATTGAGCTAGTTTAGTCTTTCCACTTGCGGGGGTCCCCGCACGTGCACAACTTTCTGGTCATCAATCAGGTTGGCGAGTGTCGACACTGTGTCTAATCGAGGACTGAGATATGGATCAGGTATAGAAGCTATTCATCATAAGTATCATTAGTTATGCCATGAGATGATTGAGGATAGAATCTAACCTGTTTCCATCTGACTGGTTCCTATCTGGGTTGAATCGACCTCACTGGCGTCTTTGTGTTCACCGAGTGGGTGATAACAATCGTCACATGGCGTGTCTAGCTGTAGCTGCCCATCCTTCGACCTTCTGATGAAACGTTTGCATGGGCATTGGATGTCGATATTCCCGACCTTTGCAGGAGCATTACACGGTCCGGACATGATCAGTACAACTGGGAATTTTGGAGTTTGTCGAAACCGGTGTGACTGTGGTGGTTGGGTGAGTAGGACCCATAGTAGATAGGATCAGCCTCACATCAAATATCAAAATGAAAATGAAAGATAGATAGACGGTGGATAATACTCGGAGAACTAGGAAAGAGCTCTCATGAAGAAAGATGTACGGTGATGACTTGTGTTGTGAAACGGTCCAGACCCGAAGACGAGGTAGATTATGTCTTTCTTTCTGTATAACGATCAGAACACATGCAAAGTCACCACTGCTTATGGAGGCAATCTTAACCTTTCCTTTCTGTGTCTAGCCAACAACACAGACAGCAACGCGCAGACTCTGTTTGTCCCAGACTCATAACATAGATTTCAGAAGGTATAGGCCTTCGGAGTCGACCATCTCCAGGTCGCTCTGGGTGTATTGAATTCGATGAGAATGGCTAGATCAAGCGGGGTCAATGGAATCGAGCAAAATCTAGATGGAAATCGATGGTATCAAGTCTAAGCAAGTGGGAGATTGATGGAATCAAGTCAAAGCAAGTGGCCTGAATCTTGTGTTTGGATACAGAAGTAGATGCAGGCCAGTGGATATCCGTGACTTAGCGGAGCGTTGTGGGTGAGCCACAGCGAAACCGCCAACCACACTGAATCCACCATTTTTCGATTAGAATCATTATTTTGATCATTTAAAGCTATTCCAGCTACTAATATGCCTAAACCTTCTAGAATTAATAAATCTCACCTCCTCAAGGCCTATGAGGCCGCTCAGGTCCAAAAAAAAAACTAAATATCGAAAATTGGTGGATTCGGTGTGGTTGGTGGGTGAGCACATGATAAATCACATGGCTATCCACTCCGTACTGACAGGGGCAACACGTGATCTTGTCACCTGACCCAGACCTGCTATTACTTCCCCAAATCTTTCATGTTTACCTATCTCTTCAGCTAGTTGAGCTGTTAAGCAGACAGAAATTGATCAACCAACTATTCCATTAAGTGACATTCAATTCCATCTAATTAATCCATCAAAATTGTTACATCCATCGATCTCTGACCCCTCTCCTATCGACTGACCCGCTTGTTCCATTTCAGTACCGCCTACCAAGATCAGGGGGTACACCGTACAATATCAACTCACATAATAATCATATAACAGAACATCTAAAGTTGTCGCGTCAGGCATTGGATTTATCCCCCATGTATTCTCGTCTTACGGGTCAGTCTAGATGAAATCATGCCAGACAAGCTATCACTCCTAGTGCACGAAGTGGAGCGCTTGATTACGGCTCCATATGCACCCTCGCTCCAAGTAAATTTGTACCCCGCTTGATAACAAATATGAAGAAAATGATAGCTGACTTACGATGATAGAGCCTTCATGATATTATTCCGAATGAGTCCAATGGGTTGGTTAATGCCTGGGCTACTCGTAAACCATGCCAAATTGGAGCTTTGGTCGATATGCTTTTCGACGGGCTATCTCGGTCTCGTTTCGCTCTGCCGTTACTGAATGCTTTCGGTGAGTCTTCGATGTGCTGTCGATCAAGGATTTAGACTTACGTCCTATAGCATCAGTCTCTTCTTTTTCCGATGCTCTGCTGCAGCGTTATCCCACTGCACTTGACCAGTTCCTGGAGAAGGCCCTGGAAAGTGATGAGTCTGAGGTTTGTTCATTCACCCTTGGGAATTGCTAAATACAATACTTCAATGTCTGTCTCAATCCCAGTATGCATGAACTGATGATGGTAGTGGATGGCACTCTGCACTGCCCTTCTTTCTACTCCTCTTCCCCCGAACTTCATTGCTCCAGCTCGTCTGGCGCAGTTCATCATGAGGCTGATAAACGCAATGGGGGAGAATCCATGTTCAGAAACCATATTCCCACTTTATCAAATCATGACCGGCCTGCAACCAGTCCCCGGAGTATTACTGGAGATATCTCCGGAGACAATGTCGAGCCTTCAGGTAGAGCTCACTAAGACACTACGGAATCTCGACGACCACATGGGCAATCTCCTCTGTCTCGCTACCTTTGCCCGAATTTCATCTTCTTGGGACACTAATGCTGAAAGAGAACACGGACCACAATTTCCAATTTGGCTGCAGAATGTCAAGCATTTTTTCGGTCAGAAGCGCGGTTTAAAAACTCTGGACCTCGTTATCCTGCGCGTGATACTTGCATGCTCCGCTAGTTGTGACAATCTGCCACCAAGGAAGGCAGCCGAGAGCATCCGATTAGCAATCGAGATTTGTGACAGCGTAGAGCAGGGCCAGAAGGACTGCTGGATTGCGAACAACGCTCCCAAAATTGCCAAGCTTTGCGAGAAAGTCAACAGGAATGGTATTGACTGGCAAGTGCAAATGATGGTATGATGCGTCCGCCTATGAGACGGCCGAGCCGACTGTTAACATCCATAGGGCCTGACATTCCTTACCTCACTTCTACCAGACAGCGCGTTGTCACCTGAAATACCTCGACTTGCTTTGCAAGGCCTTCTTACTCAAGAAAGACAATCTCATGAAGCTGTACCCCAATATCTTATTCCACGTTTGGTGATGGCAAATGTTGTAAGTTACTCGTCGCTTAGGTCTAGAAGCGTACTGATTAATTTTAGATTCTGTCGGGAAAGCCTGCGATTTGTGATCTCATGAATCGCACATTCACAGCATTGAAAACACTCTGCGATAACCATAATGCAGATACCGAGTTAATCGAGTTATCGAGGTCGGTACTCCTTGGACTTCAGAGCGTGGAACCCCGAATCTTAAGTTCGGCCATGGCGACGTACGATTTAAGAGAGATCAACCGCACCTTGAACGAATTAACTGAAACCTTTCCTGAGAAACCAAGTCATTCGCAATGCGAGGGTGTCAATCTCTGCTATGCCTCGACTTCCAACTCTGCGAATGAGTTATTGTTCGACTTAATCGTGTTTACTTCTCATATGTCACTGTTGGGCGCAATGGGTTCTGAAGCCAACAACCCGACTGGAACGAGCAATTTGGCAAATTGTTTACTGAAGGCAAAAACATTGATCCCAAAAAACAACTGTAGCTTCTCCGAATTCAAGTCATGGGATTTACGAGTCAAATTTCCGTTAGCTGGACTCCCAAAAGGAGGTCCCACTTCGAGAGACGATTGGAGGACTGGGATAGCAGAGACTCTGATGCTCAGTTCGCGTATGACCCATGACAATTTAATCCGGAAAATGGAGGAGGCCTGCTTCGACCTCGAACAGCGTTGCACTACAATTGAAGCACCACTTCGAGCAGTTGAAGATGAGCGTGATCAGATTGCTGTGCAGGCTGAACAACTTCAGCAACAGAAAAGCGAGCTGGAACTGCAACTACAGCAAGCTTCTAGCACAATATCTGAGCTGCAGCAAGAAATTTCCCATCTGGAAAAGCATGCTCGGTCAACTTCTGCCCGCGTTGAGGAATTATCAGCAAGCCTTGATACTGCGCGAAGGGAGTTGGAAGATCAGCGTCGCAACTCCCAAGAAACCACCAACAGTGAAAGAGAAAAAGCTCGAACAAGGGAACTAGACCTTCTTGCTTCAATCACAGAAAAAGCTGATCAGATCGAAGAGCTTCAGGAGGAAACACGGAGCTTGCGGGAAGATAATGACGCCTTGCGCCAAACACTGGATACTGTCTCGAAGGAGAAAGGCACTTCTTTGGAGCACACAGCTGCCCTCAAACAGGACGTAGGAAGGCTAGAGGAATGCGTCGAACACGGCAAGCTACTCCTTGCACAGAAGGATGAAGAAATAAGTAGACTTCAGGCAGATCAAGGACACATGAACTCGCAGATGGAAGCCTTACAAAAGAAGGTACAAAACTTCCTAACATTTCCTGCAGTAAGGAATACTTTGTGCTGATACCTCTCACAGTTGGATGAAGAGTCTGCTCAGGTTCAGGAACTCAAAGCCGCGCTTCGAAATGCCGAGGAAACGCACAGAACTGAAGTTAGCACACTCAAAAAACAATATGAGTCACAGATCTCGGAAATAACTGTGGAGGTGAGACAACGCGGTCAAAAACAAAAGTAAAATATTCTGACTCAGGCGCATAGTACACTGAGAACAAAGGAGAAATGAAGGCTCTGCAAGCCGCCATGCATGCAGCCGCTTCCAACGCCACAAAAGAATTGCAAGCAAAAGAAAAACGAATTCAGCATCTTGAGAGAAAGGTAAAGCCAGAAACTTTAATATTTTTAATTTTTTTGGAAACACAGACTCACCAATCTCTGCAGGTGCAACAACTACGCGAAGAACGGGCAGTCAAAGCACGCGAATTTTCAGAAGCCCAGCAACATATTGGTCGTCTGATGAGCGTGATGGGCTTCAAGCCTGGACCAAAAGAGCCAAAGGCGGCAAGCAAACAGCAGCGCTCCAGGTCAACCCTTGGGCCATCGGAAGCCGTCACAATACAACAGCAAACGCCCCAACGGGATGAAGACCCACAAAGCCAGTCCGAGAATATGCTTGGTGATTCCTTCGCTTCTCCCACACCGCAGCCGGGACGTAGTCCTAAGAGATTCAGGACCACTGCTGCGGACCAGGATCTGGGAGAGTCGCTTGCTCAAAGCCAGTCGAGGCCACGTCGTACCAGACAAGCCCTTGGAGAAGCAAACCGGAATAGGCAGACGAACTCGCTGCGAAGTGGCGCTTCACAGTGTACACCGAATGCTTCACTCCAAGGGACTCAAGACGGGACTAACTGGGACGAAAACCACTTCCACGACATTGACCTCGACATGGACCTGGAGTTTTCGAAGGACTTCATTTTCACTAGCACTGCCCTCTCCGAGGCGAACGATCATATACCCTGACTGCGGTCTCAGCAATAATGCGGAGCAGTCTTCAAGGGAAGAACTCAAACACAGTCGATAGAATGGCATCGACTACCATGTAGGTTTATCTGGGGACATTGTTCTGTATATATCCTGAATACCTTCTCAGCTGGCTGGCATATTGCATGAATTGGATACAAAGACGCAAGGTTTCAATGGCAAAAAGAAACAGAGACGTCTTTGATGCTCCACTTCTGGAACATTCACGTACAGACGTTAAGCGAGCTGTATCACTTTTAGCGTCTGCTCTCGTGCATGCTTTGTTCCAGCCTCTTTTATCCGTTCCGATAGACAGTATAAGACCCTACTCTATCGCTCATCCTTTCATCTCTTTATATCCTTCCATAAGATAATCTTCCTAAAGATTGCGGTGTTAGAACCATTTATCAGGCATACAAAATTGCGTGTTCAAGGTATAACAGCTCACTGGTATGTCTCCCAGAAGCCTCCATGCCCTAGTTTCATTCTTTAAATAAACAATCCTCTTCGAAGAGCTGCGCTCAAGTTCTTGAGACGCAGTAGCCACTCGATTGTTCCAACGCTGTGGCTTCCTTTGGGTTTGAATATCTTGCTGATAGATAACAGCTTCTTCAAGAATAGACTCATCGACCCCGTCATCTGGAGCTCCCTCATTGGAGGAGAGATCACGACGTTCTTTCCATTCTGCAAAATGGAGAGACAAATAGATGGAAGAATAGCTCGGAGTGCGCGGCAATTGAACTGCCAGTCAGAAAGGGAAACTGGATTGATCGAAAAAGAACACCCCACAACAGAGACGGCATCAACTTTGTCTAGCTTCAGCGATGAAGATAGTGAATTGAGTCTCGCTCATCGACAGGGCGGTGGAGGCAGAAGAAGGGTTTCTCGAAACTATCAGGCGAGGGCTCATGGTCATTCCTGGTTTTCAAAACGTTCTACTCGGCCTGCAACACATCGGGACCATGTGCCTCAGGTCTCTCACCGGAGCGTCAGAGCTAATTCACATTCACTACACTCACTGCTGCCTTCCCCCGTCTCACTCTCATCTTCCCTCTTCTCCTCTCCTCCCTCTCCTTCCTCTTGCCCATCTTCTTCAACATTCTCGCAATCATCGTCGTCTACCTCACCTTCTCCAATACCATTTACCAAAAGAGCAAAAGCTACAGCAATGACTCAAGGTTCACGACATAGAAGTACGCTTCTGCGCGAGCGGAAGCGTCCTTTGCAGCCCTCAAGACAGCAAATCCCGTCCCAGGCCTCGCGTTCACGGCAGCCTGTCCCACCTGCGAACCCACAACGGAATCAATGGCAACAGATACCGCAGGTCCTACAGCACCCATCCACAATTTTGTGTCCGTGGAGACTGTGGGAGTCGGTGGCTGTGAACGTCTTCAACATACCGAGGGAAGCGGACACATACTGTCTTTGGCAAGCATTCAGCAAAGAGGGACATGTGTTTTCGATAGACATCTTTGAAGACTTTCATGGAAATAGAGAATCCAGGGGAAAGATTCGCTTCAAGTCAGCAGACTCACCTCTCCATTCCATACATTGGCCTAACCGGTTCAGCAGACCACCCCCTCAGAAAGATTTCTGGTGCCATGGGACGTATCCCATCACACTCTCAGATGGGAAGACCTCATTCGTCTCAATTAGCCTCGACCCCAAACGGCCAGAGGTTCAGATTCAAAGTCCTGTTCGTCCTAATACGATATATCCTGCTGAGGTGGTAGGTCTAAGCACCTTTCCTTACTGTACGAGCTTTCAACGCTGATTCGTCATGGGCGATACAGAAACTACCTATAGCATCAATGGGCATAGGCGTTCTCGTCAGCGAGACATCCATGCTTCCAATGCGTACCGTCGGAGATGAAAGAAATGAGCGGGCTTTTTTGGTCATTGACCTGAAGCGTAGAGACCTCTTCGTTCACTTCCAGTTGCCCATCTTCAACAACAAGCCAAAATCAGCTTCAACAGGCGAGACTTACAATCAGTATCGCCTCAGGATTCCATTTGTGCAACTCGTGAAAATGTACCAAATGCAGGACCCGAAATCGGGTAAAGTCTCACATCTGACATTCTTGGATTCGCCTGCCATCTATCATCGACGCATTCAAGAGACCTGGGTCACTTTCAATGATGACATGTCCTGGAGAGAATCAGATTCTTGGTATCGGCAGACTTCCGTGGTACACAACCCAGATGAGCTATCTACTCTATCCGTGAGCTTAAAGCGATCGAAACCAGTGATCGATATTGGTACGTCTTGGTGTTTGACTTCGATTTTTACTTCCTCCTTTCATTCGAAACTAACGACTTTGCCCTAGGCCGCTGGAACGCGTTCAGAATAACATATCCCGAGGCTCTCAGCAAGAAGGATGAGGAAAGATTCGAATTGTACTGCAACATTTTGAAAGACTACAATATTGCCATTGAGAATACTACCCGGTTCTCAGTATTGGAACAGACGCAGGAAAGACCTCCACCAATTTGGAGATGGATTGACTTCGCAGACCTACAGGCCTCCAAGAAGATAGTATCTTCCGTAGAAGAATTAGGAGATGAATCTTATGTTCATCTGCCTTTCCCTGTGCGGTACCAGCTCGAGGTCTGTCTATCCCACAATTACCTTTCTGAGTTTACCATGACCCGCGAATTCGCGGTCAAATTGCTCGAGCTAGGGGAATCCGAAGCGGTTAAGCTTCTGGAACATGTGGCTATCAAGAAAGAAGTCTATCATGACCCAATGAAAATCTTCGATCTCAAGTTCGCCAAAGGTTCAACTCGCGCTAAGATACCCTCTTACTGTTGCTACATGCGGTCAGCCAGAATTACGCCTACCACGATCTACTATAATACTCCATCTGTTGATATCTCGAATCGTGTGATCCGGTATTATATCGAGTATGCTGATCGCTTTCTCCGCGTTCGATTCACGGACGAGAAGCTACTCGGCCGCATCAACTCAACCGTTGACAACACAATGGACGAAGTGTTTACTCGCATTAAAAGAGCATTGGCGAATGGTATCGTCATTGGCGACAGGCGTTATGAGTTTCTGGCCTTTGGTAACTCGCAGTTCCGAGAGCATGGAGCCTACTTCTTTGCACCTCTGCCCAATTTGACGGCTGCGAACATCCGAGCATGGATGGGAACATTTAACGACATACGCAACGTTGCTAAGCATGCTGCAAGGCTGGGGCAGTGTTTCTCAACCACTCGAGCTATAGCTGGCTGCCCGGTACAGATCCGTTTGATAGACGACGTTGTCCAAAACGGATACACCTTTTCAGACGGTGTGGGACGAATTTCAAAGTTCCTGGCGCAGATGGCAGCTTCAGAGCTCAAGATCAAAACACCAAGCGATGACCCACCGTCCGCGTTCCAGTTTCGTTTGGGAGGTTGCAAAGGAATGCTAACAGTTTCTCCCGAGGCCCAGCGTCAAGAGGTGCACATCCGCAAGAGTCAATACAAATTTGCAGCGGTCCACAACGGCTTGGAGATTATTCGCTGGTCTCAGTACTCCATGGCGACTCTGAATCGACAGTTGATTATTGTTCTTTCCTCTCTAGGCATTCAAGATCGTGTCTTTCATGATAAGCTCAGAGCAATGCTACAGAGTCTGAACGAAGCCATGGAGAGTGATTCTCAGGCTCTGTGTTGGCTGAAGAAGTATGTGGATCCCAACCAGATGACGCTTGTTGTCAGTCAGATGGTCCTAGATGGGTTCAGGAGTTCCAGAGAGCCATTCGTCACGTCCATAATGAGACTCTGGAAGGCGTGGCATCTCAAATATCTAAAGGAGAAAGCAAAAATCGTGATTGAGAAGGGGGCGAACTTGCTTGGATGCATGGATGAGACTGGCATTCTTAGAGGCTACTCTGAAAGGGTTCCTGCCAAGGGCGCCTCTGATGAAGAGAAGTTAGCCGCGTTACCGGAAATATTCGTCCAGATTCATCGCCCTGACACTGGGAAGTGCGAAGTCATTGAGGGAGTATGTATCCTTGCCCGCAACCCGTCTCTACATCCCGGTGACATCCGGGTAGTAAGAGCCGTCAATGTTCCTCAGTTGAGTCATCTGAAGGATGTCGTCGTCTTCCCACAGACCGGGGATAGAGACATTCCCAGCATGTGCTCTGGTGGAGATCTAGACGGCGATGATTACCTTGTGATTTGGGATCAAGATCTTGTTCCCGAAGATTGGTTCCGCAAGGCTATGAAGTACACAAGCGACAAAGCCCAAGATCTCGATCAGGATGTCACGGTGAACCACATCACTTCATTCTTCGTCTTATACATGAAGAACGATTTCCTTCCTAGGATCGCCCACGCTCATCTTGCCTGGGCAGATCGTCTCGAGGACGGTGTCAACGAAGAAAAGTGCATACGACTAGCCCAGCTTCACTCCGACGCGGTCGACTACAACAAAACGGGCAAGCCAGCGAACATGACACGCAGCCTGCAGCCGAAGGTGTGGCCTCACTTCATGGAGAAGAAGCACAAGCCAAAGGAAAGGATATATAAGTCCAATAAAATTCTCGGGCAACTATACGACGCCGTGGAGCGTATCGACTTTGTTCCTAGCCTTGAAATGCCCTTTGACGAACGAATCTTGACATGCAGCCTGGGAGTCAACGATGATCTTGTGCAATTTGCTCGCGACCTCAAGGCTGACTACGACGCAGCCATGCATCGTATCATGGCACAGCATGAGATCAAGACGGAGTTCGAGGTTTGGTCTACTTTTGTGCTAAGTCACAGCAATATGAGCAAGGACTACAAGTTTCATGAAGAGTTGGGACTGATATCATCGTCCCTCCGCGACATGTACCGGAAGAAGTGCTATGAAAAAGTCGGCGGTCGCACCTTCGAGCTGCTTGCTCCTCTGGCAGTTGCAATGTATCGTGTCACCCACGAGGAAATGACTTCTGCGCTTGTAAAGTACCGCGCTGAAAATCCTCCCGACGGAAAGCTTTTCCATAAGCCAACACCTAGAATCGATCACCTGCCTTTTATCAGCTTCCCTTGGATTCTGCACAACATCCTGGGTAAGATTGCTTTAGGTCACTATGAAGAACCTGAGCCAGATCCAGCACCCACTGTGAGCGCACTTGCAACCGCAAGCGTGGATCCGCTCGATCCTGTCCTTGGTCAAGCCGTTTCTGTCCACAAAGAGAACCGCAACGGGACCGAGCCCACGCAAGACTCTCTCAAGGGCATTTACGAGGATCCCTTTGGTCTCTTCGAGAGCGATCAGGAACCCAGACCGTCATCGCAGCCCAGTAGAGAGGCAGAGGTATCCGCAACTCAGAATAGACGCGAGAGTCTCCTATCTCTCGACCAGCTGCTTGATTTCGGGCTTGTAGAACTCGGCTTGCCTCCTTCCTCTGACTGCTTGCATTCGAGTGCACAAGCTCCAGATGGCTCTAGCTTGTTGGAACTCAATGACAACCCGGCACTCGACAAACCCGCTGAGGGTAGGGCAGAGGAAACTGACTCCGAGAAACAGACGAGCTTGGTCAGTGGCAGCACGAGCATCAAGGGCAGATGCATCGACATCGTGGAGGAAGACGACGTCAAGCCATCTGCACTCGACATGCTCTACCAGATATTGGACAGTTAATACGACCATCATGTGGCCCGTCCGCGAGCAATTTTGGTGTCACATCGCCCAGACGCTTTAGTCGGCTTTCTAGGCCTCGTCGTCGAGAACATACGTACTTTGTTATCATCAATCAGCTCCTGCAGTGCCAGCGTCCTCTGCTTAGATTAGGCTTTTCCATCGACTTGCTCTCAAAGGGTTGTTCTAGCTTGTGGTTCTTCGTGCAATCACGACTCAGTAATCTAGGATAATGAACTGACTTAGCACCATTTGATTCATAAATCTGTGAAACCTTCCCAGACTGAGTTCATAAAGTAGACATAATCATGGTGATCAAGAAAGAAAAGGTCTAACTACCTCATATGTTACGCAGTGCAATTATCATAGCCATAGCCAGGCCCAAATGCGCCTCCTAATGCCAAAACGCCGCCAATCAACCAAATGAGAAGTTGACTCGCCCAACTCCCTTTACCTGAACCCATTGTTACACGACAAACGAAATCCAAAATCCTTTGATACCAAACCTACCATCCCAAAGCGCTCTCGCTTTGGTTCTCCAAAAGTTTAATTATAGGCCCCAATGTGGCTTTTGTATGTTTCCAACTCGCCAAGTGTCGAGTCCGCGAATAAAAGACAGGACAGTCTTTACTATCACATATCACATCATCACCAAATGGGACACCCATGCAGGATTGACAGATGCGATGGAGGTCAGATACCCTCTTTTCGGCCTGTTGCTGGCGCGAAACGAGGGACAATAGCGAGATATGCGGTTGCTGCAAGCAGTCAGAGCATACTGGGATACCGGTGTCATCGAGTTTGGATTTGCAAACGATACACGATGATGATTTCATGTACGATTCGAGGGTCTTCCCCTTTGCATCTTTCCCGGCGGCGGATGCTGCTCCTTTGATGCGGCGGATTAGCTGAAACTTGGGCATTTCCTCGTACCATTGGCGGACGTTTGCTCCCACAAGGTTGAAAATTCGCTCCAGTGGTGGGATGATGTTCTTGTTGATGTAGTATTCGGCGTCAAGCTCTAGCTCGGCGTCGTGGAGAAGCGTTTCAGGGGCGACACAGCGGTCAACCAATCTCGATCCTGGAGCTCCAGTGACTACGACATAAGGAACTCGCTCTCCATATTGCGGTTCTGAGCGGGGATCTTCGACCATTTTTTTGGTGCTGATCATTGCGCCGGGAGGGAGTAAACCTCTTTCGCTGTAGGTACCGAGTCTGACTTCTTTCGCGAAACAGAAATCCTGGATCGAAACTCTCCCTTGCATGATCTTCGCGCATTGCTTCTGAAAGTACCGTTTGACCTGAGACAAGTCCGCAGTCCTGAAAAGGAGCTTCAGTGCCTTCTCTTCGATCTTCTGTTCCGCCGGGGTACCATCTCGCCTTACAGTCTCGATGCCCTTTGCATCGAATTCAGGTTCTTTCTGATTCCTATGCTCATATTTGAAGCCAACATAGCGCTTCTTGGCGAGGAGCACGCATGGATGGTAAACCTTCTCGAATTTGAGCTTGATAGGATGCGGATTGATGTCAGTGACCGCTTTGGCGATCTCCTCTCCAATATCGAAAGCTTCGTCGCGTGTCCGTCCTTTGAGATACACAAAAAGACTGTCCGTATCTCCGTAGACTACCTCGGCGCCCCACCTTTCCACAGAATGGATGAGGGCAATCGCTTTTTCCAGTGTTTCCCTTCCCGATTGAACAATGCTATCCGCAATCTCCGAGCAAGGCATTCGCCCGGAGAACGAGGCGGATGTGTAGCCATATGTGACGTTTGCAATCAGCTTGAGAGCAAGTTGTCTGTTGTTGAGAAGACGCTGCAACACTTTGTCGTCCTTGTCCATCTTCATGCCGGTCTTAACCATGACCCGAGTCTCCAGTATTTCAGCAAGCATCCTTGCGAGGAGCGATTGCCGTACTTCCGGCTTTGCGTACATCATGCCATTCGGCGCAATGTTTATCTTGTCCTTGAGCAACTCCAATACTCGCGGTTGTCTTTTGTAGTCCATGAATCCCATCTTGTTGCGACCTCTCCAAAGGCTGACCCTTCCGAGAAACGTAGAATAGCAATAGTTGTACGCAATCATGATACTGGGATACAATGATTGGAAATCCAAGACAAGAAGAGGACTTGTATAAAAGTCACTCTGAGGCTCCATCACCAACGGAAGACATTCAAGAGCATTCTGCTGACCGACTTGTCTCCTGCTCGGAGAAACGAGTAGGTAATTTTCTGGTTTTGCGATGCGAAACATCAGAGATTCCACTTTGAATTGTGAGCCTCTTGAGAAGACCGAGAAAAAATCAATCCCCAGGAGTCGTGCCTGCTCGCTCGTCCTTGGAATCAGTTCGTTAGACTCCAGGATTTCAAGATTCATTTGTACGCGCGAGACGAAATACTCGACCACCTTGAGCAGATCCCTGGGTTTTCCACTCTGATACCATGCGGTGAGGTCCCTATACGAATAGTGAGGAATTCTACGGTGCAGTAAATGGAACACCACATTTTCCATAGTATACTGTAGCAGATTCAGCTCACTCCTCATAGCTCGCCATATGTTAATCATGTGTCGACCGGTGACCCGGATCGAAGACGTATGATTAAAGCCCCATCTGTCAGCATCTTTGCCAAATCTTCCATGAGCTTGGGATCTCACTCGGGATAGTTCATCGCATATGTCGAAGTCATATTTCTTTCTTGCCCTCTCAATTAGATATCCCCAGGAGCCGTTATGGACTTCGTAGCCGGTGATAATGTCAGGATCATGATAGCGAACAATATCGACCAATCTATTGATCAAATCGAGTTCCGTCGGTTCGTGTTCCAGTTCGATACGCAAAGCTTTCGACAACTTTGACGTTGGCCCATCGCCACTCCCTTGAGCAATCATTCCCACATGAACACCTGGAAGGTTGCCATTGACGTCGATGTCCTGATCGTCCGATTGTATACACCAGAAGATGCAGGATATTTCATCCTCCTCCGGATTCGGTAGAAGTACACCCCGAGTGTTCACATGTACTTCTAGGCTCATAGAGCTCATATACTGGGTCTGATGCTCGACGCTCGTAGATTTCCCTTTCTGAGAATACTTAAAACCGTAATCGTTCTTTTGCGTAGGTCCCTCGATCTGCGACTGAATGTTGGGCTGCAATTGTGGCTCGGAGTCTGGCTCTTTAGCTGCTTTCGGCTGCGTTTGGCACCGGGATTGTTCTTCGTCGAACCATTCCAGGACTTCTGCACGGCTTGGGGGTACGGGAGCAAACTCCCATACTCTAGAGGTGGAGGCTTCCCTTAAACGCTGATCTATTTGTTCCTGTTGGTATCGGTCTCTCGGCATCGAAGCGTGTTCGCCGAGCATAGCAGGCGACCGTCCGTAAGGATCAAAATCAGGCATATAATGTATGCTGCTTCCCTCTAGTCGAGACACTCGACCCGCATAATCTCGTGGTCGATCAGGGACATCTTGATCGTTACTATAGAATGCTTTCTGGTAGATAACAGACGGATAACCGTGGTCTGCAAGTGTTGCCGAAACTTCACTGGCATCGGGGCAGGCGTACCGCCAGCAACAAACCCTGACGCCTTCGGAGATATTGAATGCATCATAAATCTTCGGCGCCAGATCTGACACATGAGCATTTGTAATGTTTGGCTCTAGGCGAGACGAGGATGGTTGGGATTGCGAAGCAGGCCCACTCCCGCTGGTACTTTTCTGAGCACTGCCGAGAGGCTGAGAGACGGTCTGGTTGTCAATTTCCATAATTGCCTTGGGAGAGCAGTCCTGGCTGAAACGCATAATTGTCATAGGGTCGTTTGGATCTTTGACAACGGGGAAGTTGAGTCTTCCACCTTGTCCGTTGTTCTTCAAATGAGCGTCCTGGGAAGCTGGCGGTGTCGCCTGAGAAGAAACCCTCTTAGTTGGCGTAGATGATGTACTGTTGCGGGCAATGTATTCAGCGTTAGGGCCTTCCTCCACAGTGTGAATGTCAGCAGCTTGCTGAAGGGGGTTGTTATCCGGCGAGTGAGATGCACCGTCATTGAAGAATCTCGGTTTCTTCCGTGGAACACCAAAGTCAAGTATGCCCTGGTGTGATCGCTTAGGATTCATTCTTGCATTCGCAGTGTCGTCATGAAAAGCGTTGCCACTGAGAATGTGCTTCTGATCATTTTCCTGTAATTTCCCATCGTGCAGTGAAATATCCGATGATTCAGCCGGCATAATCTCATCCGTGGCACCAGAATGTGGCCCGAAGCTCTGCAATGTCATATCAAAAATGCCATCTCCGATGCCGTCATCGATGCCGTCAACAACCTCTTCAATAGCTCCATGATCGTCCGATAAAGGATTGGAGATGTAATAATCTTCTGGCGAGTAAAAGTCGATGTCTGCCTCAGCAGACAAGGCCGCATTCTCATTGACCTGAGCTTCTCCGTCTCCATCGACTGCGATCAGAGACTGCCGCATTTCCATCTGAGTGAGCTCAATCTTGTCTGGGAAAAAGTCCTCGACACTCTGCAAGGCTGTCTTGATCTTCTTCTCAAGAGGTTCCTCCTGCAAGAATTTATCTAAAGTCACATCTCCATTATTTTGCTTGCGCTCTTCCTCAACGATTTGCGACATCAATTGCCGTAATTCATCTTCATGAATCCAGCCACCCTCGGAATTGTTCCTGGGATCAGCTGAGAACGACATCAATTCCTCAGGACCGAAGGGGCTACTGCCGGGGTCAACGAGGCCCATGCGTTGCTTGCGCCTACGAGTCTCATCTTGCCAGAGACCCGCCATACTGGGAACCAATCGTTCATTCTGAGCGATTGGCTTCAGCATTTCAGTGAAATCTTGATGGAGAGGTCTTTCCTTTATGTCGACGCGGTTCAGAATATCATGTACGCAGACATCCGCTTCCAGGGGACAATGGCTCTGCTTTGGAAGAAGTGTTGCATCGGAAACACAATCCGGCTGGATTGACCGGTCATGCCACCGGTGGGACAGATTCGAAAGCTCATAGTACTCCGGAATAGGCGACCGAAATTTGACTCTGCTGCACTTCATGTAGGCACAGCCGTACAAATTGTAGTCGCACATCCACTGCGGGACATACTGCAGGTGGCTTTCATATGGCTGCAAAGGGCGCTTCAACACGGCGCCTTGAAGCAGAAGATCCGCTAATCGGGTCGTGTAAACGGGGTCAAGCAAGTAGATTTTGAAGAAGAACCGATAACCCACATGGTAGCCGTAGAACGGAACTCCTTTAACCAGGGTAATGTGAGCGACAAACGCAGTCTTCTTATCGTACGCATTGCGACGATAGTTCAATGCCAGTGCATGGTCTATGGAGAGATGGAGACTCCTGATTGCGGAGCGAACTGCGGTCGGATGAGAAAAAGACTTGTAGTGCAACGCGTTTTGAACTTACCTTGTTCAGGGTCAAGAGGCCCATCGTATTCAATGTATAGATAAGGAAATGCGCCGTGTACGTGGACGCAAACCTTTTGGCCAGTTTCTGTGGCGCCGAATATTCTGATCACTGGTACTTTCCATCTATCATATTTTCCCGCGGCTCCATCCCTGTAGGGAAGAGGAGGATCAAATTCTGATGGGGTCGCCTGATAATGATCCACGCAGTTGAGGCGCACTTGAAAGGGCTCCATCGAATGGTTTCAAAACAGCCAGAGCCGTCTGCGACATAGCGCGCAGAAGCAAATCAAGGTTCATATCATTTGCGGGCACAAAATTAGCGGCATATCTAGGGATCCTTCGAACGATCTTCGCCGTCTAAAATGGGACTTAGAAGTCAGAACATGATGTGTAAACGTAATCAACATATGTACAGAGCAGAGTTCACGCGTTCCAAGAAACGCCCAGTCACGTGATTGATACCGATGTTATCGCCGATCATGAAAGAACAACGAATCAATCCTCGGTACTCCGGAGACAGGCTCAAATTCAACTGTCTAGCGCGAAAGTAGAGGCCGCGACTATCCATTTCACCCCTGTTAAATTGGACGTCACGATCAGGCTCATTTCTCCGGCTCCAACTGATTATTTTCTGACCTCCTTTGCCAATATTTACACGATGTCGCGAAAACCAGCTGATGTGGCGTCAAAAGAGCGCAACGAATATATCCCGTCTTTTATCGCGAAGAAACCGTTCTACATCGATGATGAGTCGACTGCTAATGATTATCTCGAACATCAACGTCTTCAGAAACAAGCTACAGATCAATCGAAATGGTACGATCGTGGGAAGCGCGCTGGTCCAGCAGCCACCAAATATCGCAAAGGCGCTTGCGAGAATTGCGGTGCCATGACCCACAAATCGAAAGAGTGTCTAAGCAGGCCCCGAAAGCTCGGTGCTAAATGGACGGGTAAAGATATACAGGCCGATGAGGTTGTACAGAACGTCGAACTGGGATGGGATGCTAAGAGAGACCGATGGAATGGCTACGATCCCAGCGAATACCGTCAGGTTATCGAGGAATATGAGGAGCTCGAAAAGCTGAAACGCAGTACGAAACCGGGAGGTCAAGACGGAACAAAGATTATGGATGGCGAATTGGACGATGAGGAAGCTGCTATAGAGGAAGCTCGGTACGCTGAAGAATCAGATATGGGACGACAACAAAGCACTGCGACTCGCAATCTACGTATTCGAGAAGATACTGCAAAGTACCTGCTCAACCTTGACCTCGACTCGGCCAAGTACGATCCTAAAACTCGGCGAATGGTCGATATGGGTGCGCAGGATGATCAAGCTGCAGCGCTTGTTGCCGAGGAGAATTTTGTTCGCGCGTCTGGGGACGCTGCAGAATTTGAGAGAGCTCAAAAGTATGCTTGGGAGTCGCAAGAACGTGGAGATAAAAAGATCCATCTCCAAGCCAATCCCACATCTGGTGAAATTTTACGAAAGAAAGAGCAGGCCGAGAGTGAGGCGAAGCGTCAGGCTCAACGGAAGGCACTATTGGAGAAATATGGTGGCGAGGAGCATCTCAAACCTACGCCCCTCCGGGAAACCATGGTCATTGAGAACGAAAGATTCGTCGAATATGACGAGACTGGCGCAATCAAGGGTGCGCCGAAGAACGCAGTCAAGTCCAAATATCCAGAAGATGTATTGGTGAACAACCACACTACAGTATTTGGAAGCTGGTGGCATGACTTCCAGTGGGGTTACGCTTGCTGTTTTTCAACGGTGAAAAATAGCTATTGTACCGGTGAAGACGGTAAGAAAGCATTCGAGGAAGCAGAAATGAGGTCGATGGGTTTGCTGCCTGGGCCAGAGACGAGTGACCAAACCTCCGCTCCGGTTAAGGGCGAGACAAACGACATCCATGAAGCCGAGGATTCGACTGATCGCAGTCAGCGAAAGGCAGACACCGAGGCAAACACTAGGAAGAGAACAATGATGGAGATGAAATCTGGTGTTAGTGAGGAAGAGTTGGAGTCGTACAAACGAAGCCGTCTCGCCGCAGACGATCCAATGGCTTCGTTCATCGGTAAAGAATGATTGTGACACCTTACGTCCAGCTTCAAATCATAATTGTCGCATATGCCATTTTTGCATCATCATCATAAGGGCGTTTTGGGGCTGATCTTCGTTTACTCAATACCCATTTAAGTTGTATTCAGGAGAATGTTCGCTGTATCTATAACTACCATCATGCAATTTGACACATTAGTGATATATACGAAGCAGTAAGATGAGCAAATGCTAGTTCGCCCGGCTCTTGGAGGCGACTGAAGCCTTTGGAACGCTGCAATTCTAGGTAGACTACATTTCTAAAGTAGTTAAGGAATAGTAAAAGCATGAGATGCCCAGTCAAACCAGGCTAATCCTGAAATGGGCTAGTTTGCATATAGTGGCGTCGATGCGCAGTTCAGACGTCAGGTGACCTAGAGTTCGCGGGAGATTCTGGAATCACGGGACGAGGGCACAAGCCCTGGATACCACAACTCGCTTAGCGACACCCGCCCCAGATCTCAGCGCAACTTTCGATACGCCCAGCGACGACGACAACGACAACCAGCCCTTCAACGGAATCGCCAGGTAAGTTGCTATTGCATGTGTTGCCGTACCCTTTTTGTCATTTTTTAAGCGACGTATTGTACTAATTTTGCGTCAATTCCGCAGTTCCTTAATTCAAGATGAGTACGTGCACATTCGACATTTCACCGAGCGCCGATGGCCTTTCTCGTCGAAAGATTCTAGCAGACTGACAACGACTACAGCGAAGGGTACCTCCAGCTTCGGCAAGCGCCACAACAAGTCTCACACCCTCTGCCGGCGTTGTGGTCAGTATTTCACCTTTCGAGATTGTTCCGGCGGAAGATTCATACGGATCTCTATATGGGAGACGGTGTTGGGATATCGCCGGAGGGAAATGATAGGATTCAGATGGGCTAACAGCTTGTGATTCTCGATTCGCAGGCCGCCGCTCCTTCCACATCCAGAAGTCGACCTGTGCCAACTGCGGTTACCCCTCCGCTAAGGTTCGCAAGTGTACGGACTCCCCGATTCTCGTTATCTCTTCTGTTTGAACCCGTGCTTGGGCGACAACCGAACCCTGTCAAGCACGGCTGTGTGATTGAGTTTTGGAATGTTGGCTTACGGATTTTTCTTGAACAACAGACAACTGGAGCGAGAAGGCCAAGAGAAGAAAGACCACCGGCACCGGCAGAATGAGCCACCTCAAGGATGTCCACCGTCGCTTCAAGAACGGCTTCCAGGTCGGCACTCCCAAGGGCGCCCGTGGTCCCGAGATCCACTAAATTAAATTCGACGTCGCGTTCTCGTTCTCGGAGGCTGGAGAGGGCTGGTATGAATGGCCTGGCATTTGAAGTGACCGGTTTCAATGCAAGGCGAAAATGACGCTTTCCCATGGAGTTGGTGTTGGGACGGGTCTTCTCTTTGCCGTCATAGCAATCATGTTCTAGACTAAAAGAATAAATGGGCACAAATTTGACGACAAATGGAAGACCGAACAGAAATACGAGGGATTTTTGCAAGGGAAAGCACGCGTGGATTTCTTTTCCTTGTTTATGGCTGGCGAATATCCCGCGTGGCAGATACAGTGTTGTGCTATCTTCCCAATGCTACGATCTGTCTTACTGAATTTACCCGTTTTCACGCATTGTACAGGCCTTTCGTATCTTCAGAACGACCAAACACTTCAAATGACGATTTCGTACCAGCCGTCGCAGTTGGTTTGGTTTTGTCCTCCGCGCGTCAAAACGCCGGTTTCCCATCAACAACTGAGCCAGCACTTTTATTCTCCTCTCCCGAAAATCCTGACACCTCCATCTCTTTGAATGAAGTACAGCACCTCTTTCTCTTCCCACTCACCCTCAGCACCTGTCTTTTCACTCCTGCCCCAGGCGCCTCCTTTGTTTATCCTCAGCACTCCACTGACGTCCCTGGCCGCACCGGTTTCCAAACTGCGCAATTGCATGACCATCTCCGCCCGATGAGCCGATCCAATGGCAAATGCGGCATGCTCCATCTCCAATGGCGTCGCCGATTGCGAGGCAGACGTTGATGCATTGTGTATCAATGGCGAATCGGCGGAAAGCGTCAGGATTGTCGCATAAGCATGCTACACTCAGTCAGCACAGTAATTGGCTCTCCCTTGATAATCGTACCTCCTGTAGTCCCATGACCCATTCCCCCATTTCCGTAGCGCCTATACCCTTATTCGGACCCGTAGCGGCCAGTAGCATGTCCGGTTGGTCAATGACCAGTAGGACTTCGGGTTCCCCTTCATCTCCGTCTTTCGAGGTTTTTAGCTGCTCGATCACATTCGCGATTCCATTCTCGAGTGCGTCAAGGGCTCCGAACCCGCTGCCCGAGAAATGTAGTCGTTTCGTACGTCCATTCTCGGTCGATGCTCTACTCGGGACCGTGGGGCTCGGTCGCGGCAGAGGTTGCGGAGCTCGTCCCGGGACAGCGCCTGGGGATGTGCGCAGAGGGAGGACAGTCCTGGGAGGAATGGCAGATGGCGAAGATGATGGCGTCGGTGATCTTGGGGTTGCCGAAGGTGCGTAAAAGAGTTCCGAGAGTCCATCGACAAAGGCAAATTGGCCCTTGTCTGTCAGGCGCGCAAGATCCAAACCCTAGGAGTGTCAGTCTGTTGCTGGATTGAAAATTCACGGAACGATAGTCATAAATAATGAAGCCCATAGGCAGCGCCTACATTTGAGCTAGGGAAAATAGAGCAGGGGGGAGCAGATTTACCAGTCTCTTTGCTTCTGTCCTCCAAAAATCCCAACCCCGCAAAAAACTTACAAGCACGACTTTGCGCTTTGTCCGCCCATCAACGCCATCGCTACCGAACGCAACGTGGGAGTTGGACGGCGCGCTTAGTGCAGCATAGAGAAATCGGAGGACGAGCCAATTGCCCGTTGCGTCTAGTACTGAGGACAAGACTGTGAGTGAGGAGGGAGGGAGGGACGTTACATATGGCGATAGGAGGGGTGGTACTGCCGGTTGGGAGGGCATGATCGAGCGACAGGTTTCTCCGGGATGTTGCACCGCTGAGCGCAATCAAACTGATAGTCGTAAGTCCCAGATGAGCCCTGTCTGAGAGTACCCCAATTGTGCTGGAATTTGTTCACTATTGATATTATCGGGGAGATGACGTTGTATAGAAAATATGACTGATTGGTCGATATCCGCGTCGATGCCAAGCCTGTATAATGCCTCAGGCAGCTGGTATGAGTATCATGCGATTCAAATGCTGCGCTCGAGCGAATCTATACTGTTCTGCAGCCTTTTTATCTCAGATATATCCTTGCTCTAACTTCTAGTAAATTGCAATGTGCTCGCGTTGAAAGCTATCCTGGTGGTACGGACGAGACCATACGCAGCATGGAAAGGGACATGTGACATGCGGAGAGAGTTGCAATAAATATACTTCGTTAAATTGCTTGGACGCGTCGAGGTTGAAAATGTGATTTTTTTTCGTAAGCTGCTGAGAAGATGCAGAGAGGTCTAGCTCGATAAAGGCACGCAATAACCCTCATTCTATCGAAATATCCTTTCAATTGCTCTAAATTCAACAACGCTGGAGTTACACTGCAGGTGTACTACAACTTCTCAAGCCGAAGCATACTACAACACAAACCTGGTCCACTCAACAATCGTCGAAATAAGCAGGCCCTTTCAGAAATGACATTACCAAAGAGCCCGAATGATAGAGCTGTAGCATATCATAAAGAGTATCTAGTCATTTGTAATTCTTCCATAAGACTTACTGATCCCCAAACGACCCAGATTGCCAGATGTGCCTGAGGACAACAATGGATCGTTGTTATTCGACAAAATTTTGCGCCCATCACCTGACTGACTGCCACTTCCCCACACGACTTTCTTCTCATCCAGCACAAAACGGGAATGTCTCGAGTCGGAATCCAATAGTCTAAGTCTCAAATACCAGGTCGAATGAAAGTTCTCGTCTGACCTTCTCATGGGTTTGGAAACTGCATCAATCTGTGACTTCTGGTTGTCCGGTCCCTGAAGCGTGGATCCTATACTGTTCATATGCCGATCGTGAGTTGGCCCCACGACATCCTCTCGTCCTGAGATTCCCCAGTCATACTCTGTTTATTCAATTGATATTTGCCGATTGATGTTGTCGCAAGTCCGTCTGTGTTTAAATACTCGTATATCGCCTGTTGCTGTGAATACGGGTTATGTTCATTGCTTGAAAAATATCCTGTCCATGCTTCTGGGCCCCTATTCTCCGATGTAGATTGCAATACGGCCAGTCGCCTTGGCCATTGCGCATTGATTCCTTTCAAAACCATTGAGAGCTCATGCTTGCCTACAGTACAGGGGAGAAGATGCGGAATGATGGAAACAGCGCTGAGTGCTGACTTGCTATACTCGATTAGATGCTACCAGTCTGGTGTAACTCTCAACGTACACCTGACTTACAACTCAAACAACCAGATTATCAGCGATAAAAATGGCCAGTACTCGTGATTCTCACTCATACGCTGTAGGTGCTGCCGACTCCAACTAATACGAGTCAAGGAATCGGGTGTGACTGATTATACTTCCAGTGTGATGAGTGCCGTTTAAGAAAGTCCAGGGTATGGTATATCCATGTTGGTATGACCAGATGAGACCCTATTGACACCTCACAGTGTTCGAAAGAACGACCGACATGTGCTCAATGCAAGCAACTGAACAAAGAGTGCAATTACAGCCCGAAAATCACTAGAAGCCCTCTCACTCGACAGTAAGTTTGCTGTTCCGTTACTACTATTACAGAATGGCTAACACGTTATTGTCAGACATCTAACCTATGTCGAGGAGCGCCTGCAAGCCTTTGAAACAGCCTTAGGAAGGCTTTTCCCTGGAGGTGACCTGGACGCTACTGTTCGCTCGTTGCTGCAGGACCAAGATGCACCACAGAAGACTGTGCCTTCGCCCAAGTCTTCATCAAGGCATTCTACCCCATCCAAGGCCGAAGCAGATCGAACCGAACCAGCCCCGGAAGCTCTTCCGCAACAAGCGGACGGGTTTGATTGGGCTGAGAACAGAATCACAGTAGGCGATTTGACAGATGGAATGGCCGCCTTGTCGATAAAGCCCGAGGGAACAGGTTATTTCGGTTCGTATCGGATCAAAGCGAAGGAAATCTCAAACGTCTGCTAACTTCCTCCACAGGCGCATCTTCCAGTGTGGTGCCTCTTCGAGCATTATTGAAGCATGGTTTCGATTTGAATTTTCCCGCAAGTCCAAATAAGCCAGCGGAAAGAGTGCCTTTGAAAAGCCAGCTTCTGAGCACTGCACCTTCCGGGCTCATTGAGCAAGCTTTCATGGACGCCTTCTTTCTCAATTACCATACCAGTTATCCATTCGTGCACGAAGCTACTTTCAAAGCGCAATTCTATGAACAAGTCCCCCGCCCGCATGGACAGGCGTGGCAGATTCTTCTCAATACCATTCTAGCCCTTGGGGCGTGGAGCATTGGAGATGATAACTCCGACCTTGATATCACATTCTACCAGGAAGCCAGAAGCCACCTGCAGCAGGTGTCTGTTTTTGAGACAGGAAATCTTACTCTCATCTTGGCCCTGCTACTTCTGAGTAACTATGCGCAGAAGAGAAACAAGCCGAACACCGGCTGGAATTTCCTGGGCCTGGCTGTGCGAATGGCCATGAGCCTTGGTCTGCACAAGGAGTTTCCAGGGTGGAAGATCAGTCTTCTTCAGCGAGAGATGAGGAGGCGATTATGGTGGGGTGTATATATATTCGACAGTGGTGCGGCGAAAACCTTTGGGCGACCTATCCTCTTACCGGAGGACAGTGTCATGGATTCAAAACACGTTCTCAACATTCACGACGAGGTAATACCAATCCCCTCCATAACCATCCTAATGAGCTCATTCAATATCTAACGCAACCACAGGCTCTCACATCAACGACCACCGTGCTACCCACTGAGGAGAACGGACCGACTATCTACTCAGGCATGATCGCGCAGGCGAAATTCCACCTACACACCAATAGCGTCTACCAGCGTCTGATATCAACACCAAGTCTAACCGCGGAGGAGACATTGGGTCTCTCCAAGCCCATGGAAGACTGGTACAACAGCCTCCCGCATTATTTCAAGCAACCAATTACGACACCAGAGTCAGACAACTTCGCTCTCGTCCGCAACCGCCTCATGTGGCGGCACTGGAACTTGAGAATCCTCCTTTACCGGCCCATCCTCCTCCGCTGGGCGTCAAGGAGATGGACGCCGACGCCGGACTCGCCGCCGGAACCCGAGGATCCGCTCGAGACGGAGTGCAGGATGCTCTGCCTTCGAAACGCGCGGTGGACCATCTCGTCCATCTCGGACTTCGTCAACAATCACATCTGCACGAGACTGGGGGCTTGGTATATGCTGTACGTTCAATTACCATCATCCTTGAAAATGCTCGAGGCACTTAACGCTAATGGTCTATGTATAGGTACTTCCTCTTCCAGGCCGGTCTGATCCCCATCATACTCCTCATGACAGATCCCACCAGCACGGACGCGCCCGCCTGGCTTCAAGATGTCGAAACCACCAAGAAGCTTCTCACCCACCCTTCTCTAAGCAACAACCGTCTCGCCACTCGCTGCCTAGAAGTCGTGAATAGGCTTTGCTCCCCTACGTATACTTCATCCGTCTCGGACGGGTCGACACCGGTGCAGCCGCCAATGCTGATGCAGTTCTCAGATCAGCTCCTCAACGATCCCATGTTCGGGAGTATGTTCCCGGATGTGGACCAGGAGTTGAATCTAGGGGGGATGGATTTCTCCGAATGGGTGAATTACACGCCTCAAACTGGCTTGCACTGATTCAACTGTGGCTAAGTATTGTAACAGAATCGGACGTGGTATCCGACATATTGAACATGAGGGTTCATGACGACGACATTGACGTTCGATAACTCGAAAGATGAAACGCGCCCGGGATCTTCCAGGCGGCGCTGAATATGTTCTCGATCTTCTAAACATCCTCTTCCTGCCGCGCATATGGCTTTTTCTCGAGATCTGGATCGCCGGCCTGAGTTTCCCGGAGCTCCGCCTCGATCTGAACGATGCGCTGTTTCTCCTCATGCGCTGCTGTGTCACCGAAGATCAGATCCATATCTTCAAGAGTCTGTTGACCGGACTCTCAAGTTAGCCTCCGCTAATCTCACAATTGCAGCACAGCACAAAAAAGAAAAGAGATGGGAACAGGGCGACGAACCTTCCCGCGCGTCTCTGGAATGCAGAAGAATGTGAAAGCCAGCGCCAAAAGACAGAATGCTGCAAAGAAGATATAGGTGCCATAGGTGATTGTGTCGAGCATATCTGGGGTTACCAGACCAATGATACTGGAAAGGCGAGGTGTCAGCTCGTGATAACCTTTTGCTTGGCTCAGTTATGACATTCAATGAAAGACATACAAATTGCACATCCAAGTCGCCGAGGTCGTGATGGAGATAGCTTTGGAGCGGATGGAAAGGTTAAAGATTTCCGATGGCAGGACCCAACCGATGGGTGCTGTTCTCAGTTAGTCAAATGTCATTCAGATACATGACGAGATGAGGGCACACAGACCGAAAGAGTAAGAAAAGTTGATATCGTAGATGTAGATAAAGGCAATCCCCGCCCACCCAGCGGATTTGTGATTGACCAAGTCTGATCCATAGGCGCCGATAATGCCGCCTACAATGGCCAGGGAAATGCAGGTACCCGTGGCCCCAAACATCAACAAAGGACGACGGCCAACCTTGTCGATCAAGAAGAGTGCTGGCAGGGTGCTGAGGCAGTTGACGATTCCGTAGACGCCGGTAGCGAGGAGTGAGGTCTAAGATGAACCAGGAGAGTCAGTCAAGCCAACTATTGACTCTTACACTTATAAGCTTACCGTGTTACCGTCCAGTCCAAGTTGCCCAAAGATCGTTGGGGCATAGTAAATCATTGCTGCGGATTATGTCAGTCGTAGCAACACAAGAGATACCATGTAG